AGTGTCCTGGTTCACTTAATATATGTAGTGGAGAACTTACTGTGTGCCAGATACTGAGGTTCTGCAGTGAAAAAGGCACCCAGTGTCCTATTTCCATGGGATTTAGATTCTATACGGGGGGCGTGAGGGGGGGCCCCCCGGAGGGGAGGCAGGGCTGGGGGGAGGGTGGAGTAAGCATAATAAGTCCTAAAACAACTCTAGAAGATCCTTTCAGATGTAAGTGCTTAAAAGACAACAAGATGGGTGTGAGAAAGAGCGACTTGCAGGAGGGAGGCTACTTCAGCAGTCCAGGAAGGCTTATCTGAACTGAGGTCTGCATATCTATGAGCTATAGGCCCACAGGAGTTGAACACACCAAGCAGAGGAGATAAGAACAATAATTTCTCCATGTTGCTGTTTTGCAGAAGGAACAGGAAAGATATTTTTACAAAGAAAGGATAAAAATAGATTCTTAGGGTTGTGTGTGTGTTTGTTTTGCAATTTGTATTTATGAAAGAAAATGCGTGGCATGCATTGGATATGCTCATTACATTCAGTATGTACAGGTGGCAAAACTCTGGATTGCTTCCTGGTTTTTATACACTCAGAATATGCAGAAGCTTAAAACCTGCTCCTCCTTCAAAGAGTGTTAGCAAACAGGAAGCCAACGATAAGTCACAGGGCCTCCTGCTTTCTAATCATTGCTCCACATTCCCTGCCACTCTCTCTAAGCTTAAGCAGTTCAGAGAAAGCAGATCTTTATCTGCATTTGTAATGATCTCTAGAGCTACTGAAGTATCACCCTGAGCATCAGAGAACTTTATGAATAGCTTTTACTGGATTTGCCCCACATGGCCCATGGACACGGCTGCATTTTCGAGCTGAAAGGTCCTCTCCAGGTCTACAGCCCATGCGCAACTCTATTTTCTCCACAGTATCCGTGTGTGGTCAATGAAAAGAGTGATGAGGGATAAAATAAGGGCCTGATCATCTGGACAAAAGCTCTGTGGCTTTATTTTAACATAAAACAGGATAGAGAGTTTCCCGTTACAGATCCATATTGAGCCATTACAGATCCATATTGAGCTTGCCCTTAGAGAATTGACCATTATTCACTAATGCCTAAATGCTTTCTAAAATCCTCACACGCAGGTCTGCTCCTTGGATTTGTGTCCACTTTTCCCTTATGGGAGACAGTGCACCCTGACTAGGAATTTGCCATCTTCACAGGGGAAGCGGGGAACTGTGGGGTTTTCCCCGCTCTTAGCTCTGATGTAAGAGAGGCTGCTTTCAAAAGCACAAACTCCAGGGCAGATGGAAGGACTATTTCCCATCACGGTATCACTGTAGGTCTGACTTTAAACTTAAATATTTCTAAGGGTTTTAACACCTCTGCCAAAAGCTGCTACACAGCACTACGTTGCTCCCGGTGGGAGGGCAAAAGCAACACAGACACACTCTTCAGAATTCTCAGAGAGCATTACCTGGAAACAGGAGCCAAGGAACTATTTCACAGCACAGAGCATCTCATGGGGACAGGTCTGCTTATCACACCCCCAGGAGAATGACGGCTATCTCTTTCAAGCTTTGAATAAAGCCTGGAATCGAGATTGGCAGACCACTGTCATGATCCATTTAGGACCTATCATAGGCCCCTTCATTATTCCAGACCCTTTATAAAGCCGACATGCTCATTGGTAATCTCTCTCCCCTTCCTGCTCCTACAGCCCCTCCCCTCTTCTCTCATAAACATGTCATTAGCATTCGTGCTACAGAGGGCTGAGTCCTTCCAAACATCCCCTGCTGCCATCTGCCTCCCAACTGGCCCAGGGGAACAGAACACCTGAGTCCTACAACAGACTGTCACTCTCCTCACCAGGCTACATGGCCAGAAAAGCCAAAGAATTAGATACAGTGTACGTACACCCATACTTACATATACGTACATAAACGGTCTGACATTTCATTTCAAAGGTTTGAATCAACACCTGCCTTCCTGGACACAAACTCCTCCTTCAGTATACCAATGAGGCCCCATAGCTGGTGGTTAGAGCTCAGAGCACAGAACACCCTGCATCCCTCCAGAGCCTCTCATAAAGTCATGCATTCTGGCCTCTTTGAAAGAGAGACTCTGAGCTCCACCACGGGGCCCCGAGGACACTCTGTTTTTGTAAAGGCCTCTGTGACCACCACAGTCCTGCCGTCCATTGGGACCCTGCAGGCTTGGGAGGGAAGGTAATCAGGGGCTCTATGGCTGAGTACCCGGCCTTGCCTGGCCTCAAACCACGAACATGGGCAGGATGGGCACAGGTAGGGGAGGTAGGAGGTTCTGAACAACTAAAGCTCTACCATCCAATGCAATGGTGGTGGTGTGGGGGGAGGGGATCCACAGCCACACTTACCTTGAACAATACAGGCACCCAGGTAGGCAGCGTCAGAGAAGGAACAGAGCAGTCGACCATGGAAAATATCTCTTTTAATTTGAAGGTACAAAAGGTATCTGCAACACAAAAGGAGAAATTTGCTCTAAGTTTTGGCAGAAGCCTGGAAGAAGCGGCAGGATTGTTCATAGCTTATCCACCTGTGTCACCAGAGCCCTACCCAGTGCTGAGGAGCGGCAGAAACATGCCAAGCCCCCTGGAGGACAAGCAGAAGAAAACTGAGGGGCCCTCTAAATTCAGAAAATCTGAAGTGTCAGTGGCAGCTTCCAAAGCTGGGTGGCTGGCCACTGCTCCTGGAAGGAAGTCTCACATGATGACAGCCACAGTCACCTTCCCCCGCACTTCACGTCCATGCTGTTCAAGTTCTGTGTGAAATGGAGAGTCAGAAAATGGACTCAATCAGCCTCAGGATCACAGACTCACACTCATCAGGCTCAGAAGACTTGGTTATAAGGCCTGAAAGCCAACTGAGCTGTCATCTATTTAGTGTTCTCTTCTCCTCTCCAGGGACAGCAAATTCAGATGGCTACAGAGCCAGGCAAACCTGATAATGAGTGAAACAGACTGGCACAACAGGGTCAGGGGAAGAAGAATGGAGAGCATGGACGCCCATAAAGGGAAGAGCCACTACACAGCTCCAGCCCAGCGCCTCTGCATAGAAAATCAGGCCAAACACATCGAGCTTTTCCAGAAAATCAAGGAGACTGGATTTAGAATGTGTGGACGAAAAGGGGCTACCTTGGCAAGCATGACAACTTAATAACTGAAAGTAACCACATGGGATGTTCTGATCATAAGAAATTCCTAACTGAATGGGTTATGGTGGGAGGTCTCACCCTAAGGCCTATATCATAGATTAATCTATACCTTGAGCAAGCCCTGTCCGTTGTTTTTGTGCATCTAGAATACTACACTTAAAATGTCAGAATGATCTCTTCTCCATGCATCTAGTAAAGGGTGGGACAACCCCAATAGTCTTAATATTATTTTTACCGACAAACCTCTGTAAACTGTGTATGTTAAATGTTACGTATCCTGCACCCACTAATGTAAAAGAAACATGTATCTCTCCGTTTCACTTTTTATCCAGTCTTAGAGATTTCCCTGCTTTACCTTCTCTGGTCTCTTTAATCTGCCACCAATGGATTTCACGTAAACCCTTCTTACATCTTCTCCTTTGATTGTAATGTATAAAATAAACTGCAAAATTGATATTCCCTGGAGCATTACCTCAATCCCTTGAGATTTGCCTTCCGGGACTAGCCCCAAAGCCTCTTTTAACCTTTCTCTAGGTTTGCTTACTTTCATCAACAAAGTAAGATCCTTTGAATTTTTAAATGTTGCAACGAATTCGAACCAAACAAAAAATACACATGAGCAGAATTTAGCCAGGGGCGAGGGACAGTGTGCAACCCCTGGCTCAGTCCCATTCGAGCCCTCTTCAAATTTCCTCGCCTTTCTTAGCCAGGTTGATTCTTTCACTCCAGTCTATTGTTTCTGACTAAAGTAACTTTGCAGATGTGTGCAGACTCTTTCTGAGGTTAAAGTTTAACTCTAAGAGACCAATCTTTTTTTCTCTCCATGTTCTTGGGATGGGGTAGGGACACCATTTGATCAATTCCAATTACCATCTACAATGCTCAAATAACCTGATCTTTACTGAGCCCATGAGTAGCTAGCCATATGCACAATCCCATTTTAACGGCTAAGAAAACGAGGATCAGAGAGGGTGATTAATATGCCGAGATCACACAGCTGCTGCCATGGAGCTCACAGTTTCTGGGCACTGGTTCCCTGAAAGCACGCTGGGCACACTGAAGGGTTCAGTGGCTCACCGGTGTTGCCATTTGACAAAGCTCTCTCACACCTGCTTTGTGCCATGTGCTCTGCTAGGCACTGGGCGCAGCCTCAAATGGCACTCTGTCCCCAGTTTTGTGTGGCATTGCGTGCAGGGAATAAAGGCAGTCCGTCTCTAATAAATTTCTTGTCCAGAGATGGGTGAGCATTTAGTCAGAGGAACAACGTTACACTTGGTAGATAAGGAACCAGAGTAGCTCCCTGAACCCGTGCCTCTCACGCTTTAGTGAGCACACGAATTATGGGCTACCATGTTAAAATGTGGCTTCTGATTCCATGAGTCTGGGTGGGGCACAAGGATTCATATTTCTGATAAGCTCCCCAGTGATGCTGGGCTGAAGGTCTAGGGACCACACTGAGTGTTAAGGTTCTCAGCCCTGACTGCCCACTGGACTACTGGGAGAGCTGTTAATGCCAGTGCCACCCCAGACCCAATTAAGTCAGAATCTAGATCCTCTCAAAAATGTGTCCACAGATGTCCATATCAGCTTTAGTCACAGTGGCTAAAAAGCGGAAAAACCCAAATGCCCATCAGCTGATGAAAGGATAAAAGAAATCTGTGTATCTACACAGTGGAATATTTTTCAGCCATAAAAGGAATGAGGTACTGATTCATGCTACAACACGGAGAAACCTTTTAAACACTGCACTAAATGAAAAGAAGCCATTCACGAAATAGCACATACTGTGTGATCCCATTTGTATGAAATGCCCAGAATAATTAAATCTATTGAGACAGAAAGTAGATTAGTGGCTGCCAGGGGCTGGAGGGAGGGGAGCATCAGGAATGACTGGTTGGGTACCCAGTGGGGTGACAAAAATGTCCTGGAATGAGATCGCGGTGACGGTGGCACAACTTTGTGAACATACCAACCCATTTAAGGGTACACTGCAATATCTTCCAAAAGAAACCAACACTTTTGAAAATCTAAATTGCCTTAGAGTAATGGTTCTCAAATTTTGACATGTTTTAAAATTACCTGGACCACTTATGAAAATACTGATTGCTGGGTCCCATTCCAGGTCATAGGCAGGGCCAAATTCCCAGGTGATGCTGATGCTGTGGTCTGGGGACCTCACTTTGTGGACCTCGGCCCTAGAGCATTCAGACTGTCAGGTTGCATAAACACTTGAAATGGTCAAATCTTTCTTTTTTAAAAGAATATAAACTCTTAGGGCAAATACCATGAAGTTTCTTTTCTACTTTTCTGTTCAATGCTAAATGTATGCATTGAACAGAAAGCATTCCTTACGACTTTTTGATGAGTTTAATAGGAGAAAAGAGTTTCAAATAACCATTTACTGATGAATAAGAGGTTTAGGTTCTAATCCCACGAATCAGAAATCAAATCCGAAAAAAGCTTCCTGAGAAAAACAAACCAGCTTTCACAACATCCGAGCCTAGGTCCTTGCTCATATCAGTGATCTCTAGCGATAATCATGGATTATTGTGGATTCCACGTAATCCACTGAGCCTCACAAATGGCTTCGGGTTCAGATACTCATTTTTTTTTTTTAATATAGTAGCCACCAAAAATAATAATAATGCATCGTCCTTTAGTATCGCACCTTCTTGAAAGGATTATGCAACAAAAGCACAAAAAAATCTGGGGCTTACATTACTGTGCCACCATTAATGATATTGCTTCTTTACCTAGCCTGAATGTAAAGACGGGTCTGACTAAAAAGTTAAAACCAACATACTTTGATTACATTCAATTGTATATAACATTCACGAAAGACCCAGAAATCTAAAGCGTTGTAAGGTGACTATGCAAATGGAGAGATAAAGGAAGGATGAAATATAATTTCAAGTATCCTTTTTTGTGAGCGTTTGTTTGACACTTTTAAATCTGCCTTTTTCTCAATGTTTCTTTACCCCTAAGCATGGTGATGAATGTGATCTTAACTTATCATATGTTAAATTCTTCTTAAACTTTAGATTAATCTTACAAAAGAATAACAATCTGTCAAACAAGAAAAATTCTTTCGGGATACAGTTTAAACCATAAGCATCTGGGGCATTCCACAGTTTCTAGATTTGTTCTGAATGCTAAGGACTCTGTATTAAGAAAAGATCATTTCTATCCGAGCAAGGAAGGAGCATTGTCTTAATTTCCTTAGGAGACATAAATGTTCACAATTTTCCACTATTCATACATTAGCTATTCAGTCAAATGTATGCAAGTGCTAGCAAATTTAATTGAAAGAAATTTAACTAGAGTTACTAGCTAAAACTTTGTCCACTTTTGGTTTCAAATGAGACTTTTTTCAACAATGACAAAAGATCCGCCATTAATTTATATCATGACACACATCAATTTTAACCTCCAAACAAGATTATAAAGAAAACAAGTGAAAAAAGTGAGCCATTTTGGCCCCTGAAGAATCTTCCCAGTTATACTTTTAGCACCCAAAGAGCAGGACAAATCTGTGGGAGTGTGGGAGTGTGTGTGAGTGAGTGAGTGAGTGAGTGAGTGTGTGTGTGAGAGAGTGTGTGTGTGTGTGTGTGTGTGTGTGTGTGTGTGTCCCCTCAGACAGCCCCTCCATCCTGGGCCACGCAGAGAGTAGGAACTGAGGAAGAACTTATCAAATAAATGAACAAATTTTTTCAAGCCAAAAGCAAGCCAAATATGGTACGATTCCATTTATATGAAATGTCCAGAACAGGTAAATCCATAGAGACAGAAAGTAGATTAGTGGTTGCTAGGGGAGAGGAGACTGAGCAGCTGACTGCTAATAGGTACAATGCTTCTTTTGGGGGTGATGAGAAAATGTTCTAGAACTGGAGAGTGGTGATGGTTGCCTAGCATTGTGAATGTACCTAATGCCAATGAATTGTACACTTTGAAATGGTGAAATTAATTTGTTAGGTAAATTTTACCTCAATTAAAAATAAAAAGCAGGCCAGGTTGCAAAACACCAAGCACCACTTACAATGTCCACAATCTCTGTATTTCTCCTTTCCTCCGACCCCAAACAGAAACTTCACTAAATGGCTGTGCGCAAATAAATAAAAAACGAAACTATCTCCTTCCTTCCAAGGTTCTACCTCAGGGTCACTGGACCCTGTGGTCAAGCTTGACTGGACTTTCATGGATAACGAGAAAGCAAAATATCCAAGAACCCAACACATGCCCCCTCAACTGATGCTCAGCAAACTGCATTTGCTTCTCTGTTACTTTGTACCTATGTAGGTTACTTTGAGAGATGATTATTTAAAGTGATGTTTGCAGTCAACAAATCAGAGCCTGGTCAAGAGCTAAGCACAGAATGGTTCTTCTCCATCCACAGAACTGGCCCTTCAGTGACACTGCTCAGCTGCACCGGCCGAGGCTCTTCCACGGAGGCAAAACCTCAGCAGGCAGACTGAATGTGGACAGCAAGGGGAGGCCTGCAAACTGGAAAACTCCCAGAGTTGGGCTGAGAAGAGTCTGCAAGGAGGGGGAAGCTGTCCCCACAGTCGGTCATTCAGCAAGCAAAACACAGGATGACAAACAGTCCATTCTATCAAGTGATCTTTTTCCTCCCAGAAAAATTTAGATCAAATAGATAAGGCCCTAGGGGCTGCACTCACTATGAATTTGCCCATATCCTAAAGACAGTCATCTTCTATTTATTTTTAGCACCCCACTGTCAGATGTTTTCAGAAAGAACCTCCTCCTTGTAACTGCTGCTTTTTTGTGCAGTTAATTACACTCCCAATGACGACCATTTGAAAACTCCTAAGACAACTAAGTGCAAGAGAAACGTTCCAAGCCAGAGTGCTGAGCTGAGCGCTCGCTTTGTTGAGATGATCTAGACAGGAGGTACGTCTAGCCTAGAAGACTCAGAGGCCCTGGCTGGTTAAAGGTGCACTTTAAACATAAAACAAACAAAAAAATACCTTGTGAGCTCTTCTTTAATCTTCAAGGGTTCGTGTGGGTAGAATTTCACTCTAAAGCACATGGTGTATGGTGGATGAGCTGAAACATCATAAAGAAAAGGCATGAGAAAAACAGCAAAACATTGTAGACTCAAACACACCCTGGAAAGTCAGCAATGAAGCCTTACAGCCTAGCCTAGGGGCAGGGGAGGGGGCAGAGGAGAGGTCGATTTTCTGGAAGAATCAGATATCATGCCCATGAAAGCAAAACAACAGCAACAATGAAACTCAAAACTCTTGACAGGACACCCAAAACAAAAGCGGGTTACAGGCGATCTAGTCTCTTAGCCCACCTTTCCACATCACAGCTCTTCTTTATTCCTTCATTCTCTCTGGGTCACAGCTTCAAATAACATTTTCTCTTCTGATTCTTCCCACCTCCTTGTGACAAATTGCCCATAAGCACCACTCAGATTTTTGGCCTAGTAACACGTTTCTTAGCCTGTGAGGTGGAAAAATGTCACTGCCCCATGACTAGTTTTCCCAAAGCGATGGTGCCTTTGAACTAAAATCAAGATTTTAAAAATAGAATCAATCACGCACCGATCGTACCTCGTGTAGTTTTCATATTATTTTAGTATTGCCTATTTATGAGGTAGTCACATTTGAAAATAAACACTTCTATAACTTCCTGACTTCTCTGAATCGAGATAACAAACACTATGCAGACTGAAATTCTGACTGAAGTTCATGATTCTAGAATGGTCTAATTGCATCAAATATTTGGAACTCAATGACCAGCTAAGGGGATTCTACAGGGTTTCTGACACCTTTAATTATAATACTGCTGTTGACTCTCAGTATTAACCTAATAAATGCATACAAGTGTATTAAGAATACATTCAGATTTCAGTTAGCACATTAAAAAAGCACCTTATAATCAAAGAAATTTGATGATTAGTATTACTACTTCTACAAATCTGACATACCCACTCATTTCTTGCCTTTGCATCAGTATGGCTGCTTGGGATCAGCTCTGGCCTACATCCAAATGTGAATAAGAAACAGCATCCTATTCTCCCCCAAACTCCTTTTCATGATAAGCAGGGGTTGAATCACCAGCCAACTCTACAATGTCTGGGGCTATTCTGTATGAAGACAAATTCTTTACATAGAAAGAACTGCCAGCATCAAATACAAATATATAATGAAGATAATTTAATGTGGAAAATAATTCTTTTAAATAATTTGAAATCACAGGAAAACAGTAGTATCTTTCTGGCTGTCTCAGCAGAGAAAAACTGATCTCACACACACACGCACACACATACACACATCCACCACCACACACACATCCACCACCACCACCACCACCACAACCACACCCCTCTCCCCCCGCCCCTGACCTCTCCATTCAATGCTCTCCTTCCCCACCAAGAATGAGCAAATTTCTTAACTGAGTTAGGTGCTCCTAACCCAACCCTGTGTTCCTCGGATTTAAGAAAATGAACATTTTTCTGGAACACTAAGAGAAAATGGATACCTCCTACACAGCAAATAAATAACGAAGAAAAATACAAAAGATTCTTAAGTCATTCATCTTTTATAATATCTAGAAATTCAGTTTTGACTCAAACTATTTTATCTTTACACATTCCCCAGGTTTATTTTGTTTAAACTATCATCTTTGTTTAAAGGATTAAAACTAATGCGTTTTTTATTATAAAACCTCTGGATTATCCTTAATAGAAAGGTTGAGACGGTCTTTATAAGAACAAGACAACAGAACAAAAAATGGAAATAAGTTTTCTCCCTTTCTTCCTTCCTTTCATTAAAGTCCTCAAAATTAATACATGTTTAAGCATAACCAGAGAACTCAGATGACAGACGGACAGACAGACAGGGCCATCCCCTTTCAGTTCCTTCGCTCTGTCTCTATTCCTGCACCTTCTGTCCCTCAGGTCTCCACCCCAAGCTCTCTATTGCTGTTAACAACTTCATCTATATCTTTCCACCCCTTTTACCACACTCACCCAAATACTTGCCAATATATGTGGGGGATTTGTTTTATAATCTATTCCTAACAGAACAAGATCATCCTACAGTTGTTTCTCTTGCTTTTCTCACTTACCGCTATAGTCTGCCCATCCCTCCAGGATGGTAGATATAGGTCTATAATAACTGCATAATAGTTCATACTATGGATACACCAGAATTGCTCCATTACTTCCACTCTTCTCTTTTAATCATCATTCAGGTTGTTTCCACATTTTTGAAATTCAAACAATTCTGATTGGATAGATGAATAGATGGATAGGTGGATGGGTGGGTACTTCAATAAAGCTGTAAAAACATAAGTAGTAGGTAGGTAGGTAGATAAGTAGGTAGGTAGGTAGGTAGGTAGGTAGGTAGGTAGGTAGGTAGGTAGATAGATAGATAGATAGATAGATAGATAGATCCTGTGCATTTATTATTAAATACTTGTATTTTCATTTCTATAATACAGACTCCCAAAACTTAAATTGTTGGGTCAATTGGTTTGAAAAAAATGTCTTAAAGGGCAGAAAAATATAAGCCAACTAGAGGCAAACCCGGGAAAGCAGGATCACAGAAGAAGGTGCCAAACTAGAGCTGTCATTTTCTCTCGTACCTGGTCAGCGCATGTGTTTACCATGCCCTAGGCTGGCTTCAAAAAGCAGCTGAGCTCATTGGATACAAATCAAGACTCTCCCTCATCCTAAGGGATGAGGCAGTGAGGTTTACGGGCAGCTCCACAGGTAGCCATCTCTGAATACTGCTGATGGTAGACAGTCCCTCCACCCAGGCGACCTTATTCCAAGACCTGAAGCCCCAACGTGGTCTTGCTTCTCCCACATGGAGAGCCCTTCCATCATCTGAAGACAGTGCTATGGTCCTTCTGAGCCTTTAAAATAAGTATCCCCAGTACTGTTAGCTGCTCCTCATGTGAAGCAGTTTTGAGTGCCCTCGCTCTGGGTATATTCCCATCTCCTCTGTGTTTCCTCAAGCTCGGGGTGCCAGAGTTTGCCACATCCACTCAGGTGAGGGGACCATCACCAGCATCACTTTGGACATAATTGTTGCTCCCCCTTAAACAGCCTTATCTCAATGTTGATTTACTCTGAGCTTACAATAGACAATTCTTTTCATATACGCCATTGCTAAGTCATACATTATAAAGTTACTGACATTTCTCCACTAGACCCATTATCAGAGAAGAGAAGAGAGTGGGCAGTAGAAAAAACAGGAGAAGGCACATTTCAAGTCTTATATTTTCTATCCATTTTCTTCTGCCATCATATACACCCCTACTGTGTCTTTCTCTCGTACTGATCCTGCTTCATTGACCCCATGTCGCCAATAAAAGAAAAAGTTTTCCTGAAAGTTAAAAGAAGCACATGATTTTGACAGTGACGCAGGAATAGCATCAGGGACCTGCTCTGACAAGACACTTAACCCCACAGCCCAGGCCTGAAGAGGCCACCGTGGCACTGGGGCTTCTCCTTGAAGAACTCACATGAGATTCTGGCTGAAAAATTATAAACAAGTAGTAAAGCTAAGGAATGCTTCTTCAGAGGGTTGGAACAGGCTGAAAAAACAAACATTTTTCCCCCAAAATGTTGATCTAGTTATGGACTACAGGTTTATGATAGTACGGACCTGGATGTCTTGTTCAGCTCTTTTTCCTCAGAGCTTATCATTGATTAAAGATTGCCTGCCTTTCTGGTTGAGTGAATGAATGGAGGAAGGAAGGAATGGTGATCCCCAACCTTTGAGGTAGATGTCAAGGAGAACATCCGGCCCTGCCATCACATTCATCCCATCAAAATACTGGTCTGGAAGGTCCATCACCTGAATTACTATGGCAATTTCTAGGATTTATATTTTGAAAACCTCTGGCCCTACATCTCGACTTCTACCCTTAAACACCTGGAACAAACTCGGGGACTCCGGAGTTGGTTGGAATAACTACTTCTAGAGAAAAATAATGATTTAATCAATGAATACTTCTTGTGTGCCTACTAGGTCCCAGGCATAAGTTTAGATCTGCCAATAACAGCAGCTATAAAGAGACAAAAATTCTGTCTTCATGGAGAACACCTGGTGGAATATATATGTATAAAATCAAAACAAGTAGGTGAAATATGGAGGACATTTGAAGGTCATAAATGTGATGGAGAATAGAACAGAAAAGATTTAAGGGGTGAGAGTAGACCGCCCCCACCTCCGTTCCCTTTTGTCATCCCCACTAGAACCACATCAACGAAGGTAAGTACAATTCTCTTTTTTACCTTCTAGAAAACCAAACAAAGGGAGAAATACAATTATTTAACCTCTACTTCCTAGAGGAGTTTAGACAGATCCAATGGGCTCTTGGCACACGCATATGGCACATTGCCTAAACGTGAACTTTTGTGCTGTGGAAGAAGAGAAGAAAAAGGGGAAGTGGAAATGGGAAGGAGGAGATGGAGAAGACTGACTGAAACTCAACAGCCGAAAAACATTTACTCAGCTATGTAAGTGTTAAAAATTAGGATGCCACTGAGTAGCAGAGGAGAGGCAAAAATGCAAGAACCCACTTTAAAAATGCCAGGAGGATCTAATTGCATAGAGAACAGCAGGACTCCTCTCTCACAGCCCTCGGTTATCTGTCAGACAGGGCTGGGGAGGCCAAGTGTCTCCACAGGACAGTTAGGTGGCCCCTTTTTGCATGAGCAGATCCCGGGGTGGAATCACTTGGGTAGTTTGTTAACAGCGAGCACACGGTGAGAGGAACAGCCGTCTATAAAGCAGAGACAGACTTTCTCGTCTCCACTTTGAGACCTTACCCAGAAATGAGGATACGCATGCAAAACAACTAGGTGAGCAGGCTCCCAGGTAAAAATGGCAGTGGGGAGACTTTATTTTTAATCAACAACCATCCACAAATATTTGTAGAAACAAATAGGACTTTTTTTTGTGAGTGAATTATCACTTAGCAGCTTTTATTAAAATGCAGAAGTCTTCCTCTAATCATGGTAAAGAACTATAGAGAAACAAAAAACATAACTTTTGGAATATACATATAAACTCATGATCTTT